ATTTCGCTTGAAATTAAACTTATTTGTGAACCACTATCAAGTAAACACCGAACCATAAAATTGTTTCCATTTTTTAATTTAATTTTAGTCTTTATAGTTGGCAAAAGAACATCATCATTCATTTTTTAGATGATAAGAATTTGCAACTTTTACCTGATGTCCTCCTGATGTTTCCAAATGCAACAAACTGTTGTGGTCTCTGGAACAAGTCTGGCACTTTATTCTTAGTTTACATGTTCCAAAATGAACATTAAGACAAAGCCTGCAACATTTATGTTTATTAATGAAAGAAATTCTATCACTTACCGATAAAGTTTTAAATTGCTTGCAGCTATATAATTTATGTCCAGGAATATTGCAACACAAACATTTATCTTTTTTGCCACTATCCAGAGTTAAATGAGAAAATTGTGATTTTTCAAAGCATTTTCTCTCTACAGAACCACTAGCTTCCAATGCAGTAGCCCTACTTTCTAGATAATTCAAAAACTCATTTAAAGTGGGCAACTTTGATGTATCTCTGTCCATTTGATAAGATCTATTAGTGTACTGACCTAATTTTTTGGAAAGAATACATATCAAGATCATGTCTCATTGATCTATGGGCTGTTTCAAATTTTTTAAAGCACCAATTTGTTGTTTGATCCTGCTTATAAACTCTCTTAAAGCTATGGGTGTGCCTTTTTGAATATTAGGAATTTCTAGAATCGAATTTATATGTGAGTTTATAAGCATGACCTCATTGTCGTATCTGTTATTTAATATATTGAGCGCTTCAGTATAGGAAGAATTTACAATTGGCAAAGTACTTACCAATGTTAAAGCCTCACCTTTAAGGTAATTTCGCAAATAGAATCATTTTTCTACTACAAGGTTTGATTTTTATCAATAACAGCCATAAAAATTTCTACAAAAGGTTTAAAATTATTCAATTTTTTTCCATCAAAATAAGGTATGTCAATATGAGGTAGTTTAGTATTAGAAATGGAACTACTAGTTATTGTATTTACAATATTAACATTGCTATTTGCACTTGAACCCTTAGAAATACGAGCCTTTAGCACAAATTTCAAAATAAACTAATTCTATTTCCTCTGATTTATCAGTTTCTTCAGGATTCAAGAGCAAAAGCTGTATTTGAGTGGTTTGGAATTTTTCAAAACTATTGTCTAATTATTCTTTACGAACGTTTAATTGATTGAACAACAAATCAGACAATGGTTCATCCTAATGATCCATTAGAAATCTATCAATTCTAGACATGCTAGACTTAATTTGCTCCATGGTAACATTGAGCTTAGCTATTTCTTTTCTAGCCATAGTTAATAATATTAGTTACATTAAAACAGCTTTCCTTTGAATATTCTTTATGCGGTGCTAAACTGAAAATTCACTCATCTCCTTAACATCGCACGGAAAAAACAGCACAACACTGGAATACTGGAAATTACAGTTTCTTCAAGTTAATTTTTAATGAAGGGAAACATCCAGGGATCCAAACTGCAGATCATAAACAAATTGAATAATTGTCAACATAGATTGTCAATATCAATAATTGTCAATTTCAAGACACTGTTACCGTAGAGGACATCCAAATAAACAATAGTTATTTGTTTTACTAGGCAGAAAAGTACAAGATTTAATGCCGCGGCTGGTGTTTGATAGCCGAGGCTAGGAAACCAGCCGAGGCATTAAATCTGCTTTTCTGCCATGTAAAACATATAATTTTTTCTTCGAATGTTCAAATTCACACATGGACATCTTTTTTATATTTATTTCATTCATGATTATTATCCAAATAATTAAATTATTTTGACAATTGTCATTGTCACCATCAATTTCAAATAGCAAATTGAGTGAAATTAGGCCTGTTCGCACAGAAATCACCAACCAGTCAGAGCGAATTTCATTGGTTGAAACTAGTTTTCTGACTGTTTCTGACTGTTTCCAACCAATGAAATTCGATCTGACTGGTTTGTGATTGCTGTGCGAACAGGCCTATTATTACCTGGAACGTTGTGACACTGTCACTTTTAATGCCTAGGCAGTAAAAATACAACTTTTGATCCTGTCAAGTGTCATTAAAAGGCCGCTTTTACTGTCATTCGGAGAAAATAGTATATTGTTGTATTAGGAGTAGAAGCTTTACTTTTTTGTGCTGAAGCATTAGGTTTGCGAGCCGAACGTAGTGAGGCTTGCAATACTGCTGAAGCACAAAAAAGTGCTTCTACTCCGTATGCAACACGCTATTTTTTCTCCAAACAAATGGGGTAAGCTCAGGGGTCACTGAATGGTTAAGCGGCAATAAAAGTGCGAGCGGCACTAAAAGTACTTTTGCTGCCGCTGGGGTTGCCAAACAGCATAGAAATTAAATTTCTACCGCCTCGACAGGTGTTAACCTGCTGGATTTGCCTACTAGCATAGAAATTAAATTTCTGACATCTTGACAGAGGTTAACAAAGTGGCGTTTTTTTGACGTTTGGAGAAAAATATAATTTTTAATCAAAAATTCCTAAAATTAGGGTACTTTCCTGAGATTTTTCTGCAAAATTCACTGGAATACTCTTCGGAATCTTGATTTAAAGCACTGGAGCACAATATCCTGGCTCTCGAAGGACCAATATGTGGGATGCAAAGTCGCACATGGGGTAAAATGAAAGCCTTCGCACTTCCACTAAATTGTAACATATATTATTAATATGAATACATTTCATACTGGAAAGATACCCAGAAGGTAGAGCTTTTAAATGAGGTACGAAACCTGCATTTAACTTGTACATGGAATATTAGCTTGAGAAAATGAGGAGCGACATGCTCATCACAGAACATATCACCTCTAGAAAAGTATCTGCAATGTTATGTACCGGTTATGAATTACAGCGCCATCGTTGAATGAAAACCTGACTAATCGAGCATTCTTGACAAAAAGGCGAATTGATTTTTCCCCTATATTTTTATTATTTTTAAATAATTTTTAATGTTCAACTGCATTTGGCTTGCTGACTCCTTTTAGCTCTTTTCGCCTCATTTTCTTGAAAACTATGACTGGCAGGAAGTTTCCAATGTCGAACATAGTGCAAAGAGAGTTATGGCCGTTTCCACCAACTATTTTAGGGAAGCCCTAACGATAAGTATTCCCTAAACTGACATTTCTCCATGGAAAACTGTCAGTTTAGGGAATACTTATCCTTAAGGCTTCCCTAAAATAGTTGGTGGAAACGGCCATTAGTAAGTTAGCAAGCGACACGCAGCTATAGGTAGATCGCAAAGTAAATACGAATAATAAATACAAATACGAACGAAACGAAACAAACAAACGAATACAAAAAAATACGAACAAAAATTAGGGTTTTTTTCAACCAAAACTTTTTGAATTTTCACTTTAACGCGCATGGGAACCGTGGGGTACAACAACACAATTTAAAAATTCAAATTTTGACTTTTGAAATGACAAAACCAACCAACACAAATCACTGCCCACACCACAGAGACCTGTAAATTTCTCTTATCTCCCGACAGTGTCGCCATCGTTGACTGAAAACCTAACTAAAAAACTTCGTCGCGATTCTCTCATTTGAGATATTTTTCTATAGGTGATATGTTCTGTGATGCTCATCTTCTAACATCTTTCAAGACTTGACAATACTGGCAAAAATATGAAGTTGTCACGTCTGGTGCATAGTTGCACATGGCCAACCAATATAGTTGGATATTGTATCCAACACAATCGATTTATTTTTATCAAATGCTGAGGGTTTAAATTGTGTTGAGGACCTACAGGTTAACTCAGAATTTTTTTCCTCAACGCATTTCCCGGTTTGTCTCAAGTTAAATATTTTTAAAAACAATATTAGGAATATTCAAATTTCGACTCCAATCGTGCAGTCGGCACGCTCCCTCTAGTGGAAGGACGATCGCTTGGCTCGAAATACATATCAGCAGCATTTGCAGTTCTCACCACTAGTTATTTCTAAGGCCCGTTTCATAAAGGACCGATGATCAGTGCGGATGCATCGGTCGCTATCAGGTCGCTATCGACTGATTTGTTTTCAGATGCGCGCCTGTCGTCAGTCGTCAATATGTATTTGAAAAGCACACTGCATCGCGTTGTTGTCGCTTTGTGCGTAAAAAGATTGATAGAAAGGCAAAAAAAGAAACGGAATTCCAGAATTTGGGTTCATCCACTATGTCTTCAAAGGCCAATAAAAGGTGCTTTCGTTACCCTGTATTCAAATTTGCGAGAAGATCCAAACAAATTTTTTATGTATTTTCGGATGTCCATTGCTTCTTTTGACGAACTGCACCAGAAACTAGAAAACGATCTTAAATTTTCAGACTGTATTAGAGCTTCAATATCTTCAGTAGAAAGATTGAGTGTAGCCCTAAGGTAAGATTTTTGAAAATATTTTTTTTTTAAATGCTTAGTCAGTAATAATTGGATAGGTATTATTTGTATAATTTTTTATTGTTTTTAAATAGAAAAGAGACAAATTAATATTATCTAAACGCAAAAGATATATTAATATGCAAAACAGCCTGAAATACAAAACATAATAATAAGCATTTATAACACATTTCCGCCAATATTTACACCTGTCAACTCTAACAGATTAGGTCGCTCTATGTCGCTCTGGCGATTTTTAATAGGCAGGCAGCCCTCTTGCGACGGCAAGTTATGAGAATATCCATATTCATTAGATGATAGAGGTGAAGAAACGTAAGATACACTCGACTGCGGTCTTGATGAGTTTATATCAGAATATCCAGAAGCGGAATAAGACATAGCATAAGGAAAAGCTACTGAACTATTGCTAACATTACGCTGGTTGGAAAAATGTCTTATTTGGGAACTATCTGGGGTATTATACATTTGTGAAATAGTGGGGATATTTTTAATTTCCATCATAATTCGAAGGACTTCTGCCCGAAATTGTAGCGCTTTTGCTTCATTGAATGTATTTAATGTTGGCAACAAAGATTCAAGGAATGCCCTATTACCATTATCTTTCGTTTTTTTTTGAATTGGTCACAAATTCCATCAGTTTTTCATCAATATCTTGTTTTTTTCTGCGCTTCTTTGTTTGAGTATGTACAGAATCTTCTTCGTAAACCGACTCGATTATGGCATCTTCATTTTCAGACATGTCTTCTACATTTTGACTCTCTGCCATATTACCCATACGAAAATTTGTGTCAGTTTCATTAAGGTCTAAAGTTTTGTTTAAAAACTTTAGATTTTCAAAGTAAATATACTTTTTAAATGTCTTTGCAGCTTGGCCCGATTTTGAAGCACTTACTTTTGATTTATCTCTGCGGTAGGCATCTCGAGCTGACCTCCATCGTTGCTGAATCAGTTTAACTGTAAAAGAAAATCTTATTATAAACCTTGAATTAACTTTGTTACTGCAAATTTGTTGTGTTTTTTATTTTAATAAGACTGGTTTATTTTTACGAGATGCATTTGCATTTGCCTCTTACGCTCAAAAATCGCTTACATTACGATTTTTGTTTTAGGTATTTGGCCAGTGGAAATACATTTACTGACCTACATTTCACATACAGAATGGGCATTTCAACAATTAGTTGTATTGTGGAATTGGTATGTGACAGTATTTGGAAGCATCTATCCCCTGAATGTCTGCCTGATCCCTCCAAAAACCAGTGGGTAGAAATTGCACGTGGTTTTGCTCAACATGCTAATTTCCTAAATTGCCTTGGAGCAGTCGACGGGAAGCACATAAGGATTACCATACCAATTCATAGTGGTTCAGACTTTTTTAATTATAAAAAATATTTTTCTATTGTGCTCTTAGCCATTTGCGATTCAAATTACTGTTTTACATATATAGATGTTGGCGCTTATGGAAAGTTTTCCGACTCCAATATATTTAAACATGGCAAATTTTGGCAAAAAATTCAAACAGAAAGTTTAAATATTCCAGATGATGCACCTCCACAAGGCTATAATAAATCACTGCCTTTCGTTTTTGTTGGAGATGAAGCCTTTCCTTTGTCACCAAATTTAATGCGCCCATATGCTCGAAAGAATTTAAATTATAATTTTTTTTTTATAACTACCGACATACTCGAGCTAGGCGATTTATCGAATGCTCATTTGGAATCCTATCTAACAAGTGGCGAGTTTTTCATAGAGCTCTTAATGTATCGGTTCGCCTTGCTAAAAAAATTACCAAAGCTTGCTGTGTGCTGCACAATTATGTATGTGCAAGAGATGGTTATGCTTTTCATCATACACTAACAATAAAAGGCTTAACAGACTTGCGTAATACAACAATGCTAAATAGGTCTGCTTGGAATGTTGGCGATGATTTTGCTAATTAGTTTCTTAGTCCAGTTGGAAAAGTACCATGGCAGGATTTAAAAATATAATTTATGTTTTGTCAAATAATTAATAATGTACGTAACGCCGCGCCGCTCGCTTATATGTCATATTATATCGATTATAAAATAAAATATTCCTACTTGCTTCTTGTTGTTTTGCCTCATCCAGATCCTCGAAATCATGTAGCAATATTTGAGCCACTTCTTCCCAAGCTTTATTTTTCGTATCACGATTTTTGTACTCTTCTGAAGATGTATCCCAGATACATGGTTTTTGTTCTATAGTAGCTATTAATAATTCGGTATCAAAACGATATTTTTCTTTACCACTTGCCATTTTGCTTTGACTTTGCACAAACCGCAAAAAAAAATACAAAACTATTTTAAACTTGCTCAATCACAACACCGCATCGAAACCGCCACTGATGAAACGCCTTCGTGTGAAAATCTTGGTTTATACAATGGCTCCGACTCTAACCGATGATCTGCATACGCTACGGGCTAGACCGACGCCCGAGCGTTTTTTAACGGTCGACCGATGATACGCCGACATGTGAACGATACAATTGTAAACAATGGATAGGGCAGCTCGTCAGCGCTGATCATCGGTCCTTTATGAAACGGGCCTAATAATGATATTAATGGCTGTTTTTTAAATTTCTGCGCAGCCTTGAATGATACGGCAGCGGCAGCGAATTTGATTGTGACGAGGTCCAACTCTCGTATACCTATGCGAAAAGCTCATCATAAACCATGGTACGACCACAGCATATGTACGACTATCAATGTTCAGGTAGGAAAAAACTAGTACGTCAAAGTTTGAAGCAAGCAAAACTAAACAACTTTAGCTAGCAGTTTAAGGCAATTTATTTCGAGCACAAGGCTGAATACAAACGGCTCTTATCATGTTAGAAGCGCAACTACAACAAGTTATTGTCCGAAACTTCTAGGAATACGCGCGACTCAAGGTCTTTTTGGGAAAATATAAAAAAATTAAAGGGTTTATCGGTTAGGTCTGACTTAAGCATTGAAACGTGCGAAGGTTTTTTAACGGTGTTTATCATCACAGCCCTAAACTTGAACTGAACTTTTGCGGAATAGGCTTCTGACCTGACTAGATACCTATAATGTAACTCCTGAAAGTTAAAGTGGCTTTAGAATGAATCGAGGGTGCACTGACAATGTTTTTGTACTTCATACTGTGATACAAAATCATCTAAAACTAGAGAGACGAAAAATGTTTGCTGCCTTTATTGATTTCCGCAGAGCTTTTGACTCGATTTCACATAACCTACTGTGGCACAAAACGTACCAAGCAGGAATCAGTTCAAACCTCATAATGACCATAAAAGACCTCTACGATAAAGCCACGATTCAAATAAGAGCAACCGAGGGATTAACAAGGCCGTTTCCATCTCTTCTGGGGTCTTGCACGGGGAAACTCTTAGTCCTACCCTGTTTAATATTTTTCTGTACGATATTGTCCAGCTTTTTCTGGATCGCGAGGTGGGGGAGGGGGGGTTGAGCATGGACGCTTCTAATGACATAACTCTTCTACTGTATTGTGACGACTAAGGGAGGATTTTCATGCATCCGTTTTTCCGTCGAAACATGTCCGAAAAGTCTTCTATTTTGACATATTTATATACGATTATGTCAGCATAGAATGTTAAACGGACATATTTTGTCGGAAAAATGGATGCATGAAAATCCTCCCTTAATACTACTCAGCGACTCGGAAATTGATTTACAGAAAAAACTAAATATACTTCAGCAATACGCCAGTGAAAACAATCTTATCATAAATGCAAAGAAATCAAAAATAATGTTTTTCAACAGACCAGGACTGCCCTATACAGGTGGGTTCAAATTCTTATTTAATCAAGATCCTCTAGAAGTGGTAAACAAATTTGTCTATTTGGGGGTCGTTTTTACCCCATCAAACTGTTTTCGGAAAATGACGGACAATACAATTTTACGTGCATGTCAAGCGGCAGGTGCGGTTATGTTACTAACATCTAAAATAAAATACAATTCATTTTCTGTTAGTAAGAAGCTGTTTTCTGGTTCTGTTCTGAACTCGTTTATTAATTGTTTACCAGTCTGGGGGCCTCGATATACTGATATCCTGGAGAAGGTTCAGTCCTCGTTCTTCAAGTCCCTTTTAAGGCTCCCAAAGAATACCTCACTGCGTCTCTCGTATTTCGTGTTCAAGTCAACGCTAAACTATTTTATCAAACTATTAGGCATGGAAAATCCCAGGTTGCCAAAAATCTGTCGAAATCGCCAGCTCAATTTATTTGGTGATAATGCCTCCTCTAAGTTTAATTGGGCTTACAACTTTTACAGATGGTTTCAAGAAATCGGAATAATCCACTTGTGGTCTTTAAATAACATTTCTTTAAAACGTAGTAAACCAGAAATATTAAAACATTTCCGTGGAAAATGCTTGCAGACCGACTATCGAATGACACGGAATTCTACATATACTTACTTTGTTTTATAGTCAATTTGATTTAAATAAGCATTCGTTGAAGTACCTTTATTCTGACTGTGTTTTTTACATGATCCGAGTTATTACACAAATCCGACTTTGTTCGAGTTATAACTGCATAGCTTATAGAATTAATCAAGAAGAGCTCTGTTCGGTTTGTAACCAAACTAAAACATTTCTTCATGTTCTCTTCGAATGTACTTGGTATCGTAGTGTTAGGCCGGCAGATTGGGGTGACATACCGAATTTTGCTCATAATTTGGACAATCTAAACCCTTAACTGGTGAGGGTTATTTTCCAAACTGTTACTAGTATTCTTAAACTTAGATCGTTCCTAAGAAATGAATAGACCTATTTTTTAGATTTTATTTTTATCTTCCTTTTCTCCTCGTACCAGAATTAATATAAAGTATTATCTTTTGTCCTTTTTGAATTTTGAATTTGGGTTTACATATTCAAACGTGTAGCTAATAAGTATATAGGAAATGTAGCATTACTTAGATTAGGACTATTATTGTGTAGAACCTACTGTTATAAGAATGTTTATTCTTTTTAAACAATAAAGAATTGGAATTGAAATTGAAAATTGACGTTATGAGTGCATACATCGAATCTGATGTACATATTCCTTCTTCAGTGATTGATTAGCATTACGAGGAATCGCGTTGGTTCTCAACTACCCCGAATCGACAATATAATTGTGGGTTTTACAATCGCTACGGAGCGAGATACTTGGATTTTCCATATCCGATTAAATGAGCGACAGAGTTGCTAGTTTGAGACTTTCTTCGGTTAGCTCGTCTGACTTTTCAAGAGCTAGGGCTCCAGTTCTTGCTGCGACTTCACAAGTTCCGGTGGTTGCAGAACCCAGTGTTAGATGGTCCTACACTTTCAGTTTGAGCTGAGCTGGTCTTCACTGATGATGTTGATGGGGTTGCCTAACCAACAAATGAAGCCGCATCCAACTTTTCTGCGTGGCACATCATCCAATCCATTAACAGTTGTAAATCATGACTGTTGGTTCTTGCAATAGCAAGTTCACTGTTTAAAGTAAAAAATTAGGCCCTAATTTTGTTTCGTAGTCAAATTATTTCAAAACTTACATGCGCGCTTTGGGAAATCCCATCTCAAGGAAAGAAGTCACCAAATTTTCCATTTTCAATTCTTATACTTTCGCCGTTGGAATGAGAGTGAGACCGGCGCGCAAACCCCAAAGGTAAATAGTGTAGTCAAGTTATAGGAATTTAGATCCAACTTCTGAAAAAATTATATACAAATGTTTATGAGTGGGAACATACAAATAATATGGCCCTAGATGACATACTAAAAGTCCCGTAGATTCTGACAATGGCAAGTTGCAAAAACGTGGCCGCCAATAGCTTTGTTTGTTTCTTTGCATCAATATGTCACTTTCTACTCCAAATGTATTTTAATCACTATATTTTTATTTGTCTGACAGAGGTAGACTGATTTTCTGCTGCACCTGGTGCAGAATTATGTTAATGTGTCCCCTATTTAATAGAATTATATGCTCCAACAAAACTCCAGATGAAATAAGGGACTGTTTCAGCTTTGAATTATCTCCGTATCCGTTAATAGAGTGTTTTCACAGCTATCAGACCACATACCCACCTCTACCACGTAAAACCCACCTCCAGCACAGTCATCATACCACTACCCACCTCCACTGTAAACCCCCTTCCGTGAAGCTCCTGAGCACTTTTTTGGCTCAAGTGCCCCACAAATTTTGGGGTTGGCCCGGGTCAAATTCTAATTTCGGATCAAAGGCGCCGATTTTCCCACGATATCGAAAAAGTTCCCACGGTTGGCCCGGGTCAAATTCCCAAAATTTCAGATCGCCGATGTTCCCACGGTATCAAAAAAGTTCCCACGGTCAAGAGCCTTCAGCTATAAAATCAATACCCACCTCTACTACATTAAAAAGCTTCTACTCTGAAGAGGTACCATATCCTTTCAATTTCTTGAAAACTAAAGAATACCTAAACAATTCCTGCATTTGTATTCGTGAATTTTGGAGTTGGGCCGGCTCAAATCCCCAAAATTTCAGTTTTGCGCTTCTCAATATTTTTGAGTTGAAGCAAGTGGTGAAAAACCTTGCTAATTTATTGATACATCTTCGAAAAATATGGTTTGATTTTTCATTGAAACACAATAAAATATTAAATCATTTTATTAAAAAAAAATATACTAATTGGAATTTTGAGAATCGTTTTCCTTTCCTAGGGGTTGGATACAACATCTGCTTCTGGGTTATTGCTATCTACCATAAAGTCCTTATCTCAAGAATCGTCGATGGTAGGGTTTTTTTGTTTGAATATATTCATATGTTTACTATGTCTGATATGCTCGACTAATTTAGTTGATCTGATGACACCGCATTGTTTGAACTTTTGGGAAAAGTTACCAATGAGTTACAAAAACAACCAACTTCATTAAAATCCGTGATAAGCCAGTATTTTTTAATATCCACTCAAGAATTGTGCTTTGTGATCTTCGAAAAATATGTTTTGATTTTTTATAAAAACCCAATGAAACCATAAATTAAGTTATTATTATACTTATAAACTACAATTTTGCAAATCTCTCTCTTTCTTCTTGTCTAAACTTTCTTTTTGCTTTTTTGCTTAATTTCGGCGGGGGGTAACGGATAATTTTGTTTGCTAATACTTATGTTTGTGGATTATAGCTCAACATTGGAGGGTCTTCATCCCAAGAGTAGTCTTTGGTAGGGTCTTTATTCTGTTTAAAAATATTTATATTTATAGTTGTATTATGTCTGTTAATAATATACAAATTCAACAATAATAATAATAAATTTATAA